TTTCTTTGAGAAACACCTCCTCTAACTAGAAGAGCCACATTCAATAATGTGCTGCATTGACCAAAGAAAACCAACACAGGACTATTTTAACATATTTAATCTTGGGATTGTAGAAGTTCAGAAAGTTCGTTCTTTCTCCTTTTCTGTTTCCCGAGACAGACTTTTCCCCGCTTCTGCCCCTCAGCTGTGGTGAATGATTAGATGTACCATGGGGCTCTATACAGTGGCACAGTTTCATTTCCTGGGAGGAAAAGAGCTTTAAATCCCCCAGACAACTCATTTGTAACAGGCTTGCCAAGTGCTACAGAGACTCCAGGAAAATTCCAACCTGCTTGAACAAGCCGTGAATAAAAGAAAGGCTTTCAAATGTAAATGGAAAAAAAATTAAACCGTTTGTCAGTTCACTTTGGTTCCGAACTGAAAATTCTAACCTGGATAAAAAATGCCATAATGTATAAAAATCTTATCAATGACCTTTCTGGATATTATTAGCACTTGCTGAATGATCTTGACTCTCACACCTGGTCAAGGGAGTCCTTTCTATTACAACCGCAATAATGTATTGATAATAAAATTGGTCGCAGTTAAATTAATCAAATGCTTAGTCTGTTGCCAGCAATTATAGTAAGGGATAAATCTGCATGCGCTCGTTTGATTCTCACAGGAGACACTCAATGTAGATACCATCTTTATGAAGATATTTTGACAGAGAAAAAAAGTGCGGGCAGGCGAGGTTCTGTAACTTGGCAATTGTATATGAAATTCAAACCCAAGCCTTTCAGTCCACAGTCTTGGCCACCAATCACTGCTAATCTTCCCCAAATCAGGATGCTGCGGCCTAAATTATGTAGCTAATGGGCCCTGTGAACTTTCCACATAGATAAAATAACCAAAGAAGAACATCCTAAGGACTACTCTTGAAAGTACCTAATTTTCATTTTAGTGTGATTTGATTTCCTTCCTTGATATCTTCCTTAATTCTCTTAGAGTACCCTCATTGAAATACAGACTTGGCCAAAGCTGGTCGAATGCAAGCTGGCCAGCAAGATCAATCAGAAGCCCATTAGGAAACCAATGAGGGGGAAGTGGTGGAAAGCGGCCGAAGCCAGAGAGCACAGGGCTCCTTCTCAAGTGTCTGCAGTTGGTTTCAGTGTCAGTCCCTTCCGGAAATGCTGTAACTCTACATCAATTTCCCGTTACCCACCTGTGAATTCCCTACGCTGCAGACTTATCGTGACTTCTTGCAAGCTTTATTGCCCAAAATGGCTCCAATGGGTGCCTCTTCTAAGTCTGGCCAGCCACTCCCTACTGTGATCAGCTCATGCCTCTCATGTGATGGAATGCTAACTAACCCGGCCTGCTCTTCTTCTAAGCCCTAGTCAGTTCCTTTAAAAGCCATGGGGTTTTTTGATCCCCTGATTTGTGTGTGTGTCACAACTGCCTCTCCATCCCCTTGTGCTCATAGAACGCAGGTGTGAATCTAGTTTGATTGGTGTCAAAATGTATGTACTGATGAAAAGGTGAGATTCCTTCACCTAGCTTGTAGAGCATGTGTCCTGCATAAGAATGGCATTAAACCTACTGAAAATTTAGCATGGCAGAAAAACATCAAAGGAGACTAAGCATCAAAATTTTCTTTATAGAAGTGTGGTTATTTTTCTTTCTTAGTTGAGCAAAGAAGGTACCCAGGTGGTGCTTGGCTGGTATATGGAAGGTTGATGGTTCAAACCCTTCCAATGACTCCATGGGGCAAAGACCTAGAAATCTGCTCCTATAAAGATTCCAGCCTAGAAAATTCTGTGAACCAGTTCTACTCTGTCACATGGGGTTGCCAGGAGTCACAACCAGACTCAACAGCCCTTAACCACAACAGCAACGCATATGAAGAAAGAGACAAACCTTTGAGATGGGGCCACTGGGGTTTAAGATCAAGATCCACTGCACACTGGCTGAGTGACTTGGACAAGTTGCTATTTATTTCTGTGTGGTCGTTTACTGTCTTGTCTGACTGGTTATTATAATGATTCGGGGAGGTAAGATACAAAGAGCACAAGGAGCTTTGCTGTTGCTCAAAAAATGAGATTTATCATTATTGCCATTATCATAGTGAACAGTAGTAGAAGTAATAGTAGTACACATAGTAATCTTATAGGAAAAAAAGTAAGTTGCAAATATTGGATGTATTTTGAGTAATAGTTGCCCTCCGAAGTACAAATAGTATGCTTAAGAATTGTACATATTTGTACATTTTTAAAGCATGCTTTGCCTCTGAGCTATGAATAGTAAATAGCATGGTAACCTAAAATAAGGCCTGGTGTTACTAATTAATACACTTCCATTTATCCCGTGAAGACACTTTTTTCAGGAAAATTAATTTCTTTTTTCTTAATCTACTTCAGCTTTCAAAATGTGAATGGACTTCTTAGCGACCCAAAAAAACATAAGATATAGGATAAGGCCACTTGCTTTTAAATTAAAACAAAATCTGTGTTTTTATCTTTGTTCCTAATACAGTAACTAATGGAACCCTAATGCTTTGATCTTCCACTTGAAAAATAGCAAATCATCTTTAATATGCAAATTAAGGCAAGAGCTTGTGGGGTCATCCACAGCAGGGTACACATCCCCTGCCTTAAAACAGTAATTGGAAAATCTATGGGGGCTCTGAGTTTCATTACTTTGAAAGTAATTCTACCACTAACAAAAATCCACTAGCTGATCCTGAGTCACATTTCAAAATGAAATTTAGATATTAAATAGTATTGATTTCAGTTCAAAAGCTGCATGGACCACCGTGATATCAATCCACATAACTTGAAATAAGGATTGGTGAAAATCATTAATTCACTTATCTTGTGAAAAATCACTGCACTCTGCCTGGATGTATCAAATACTGGAGGAGGCTACTTTTAGTTCCCCTACTTTTAGTTGCCCTTTCCCGTGCATAACTGACATCACCCATCAGATGCAGCCCAGGTCAGACAGTCGCTGAGGTAGAAGGAAAAAGAATTTGGAAAAGAACATCATTATAATTGATGCTAAAGACTTTTCAAAATGGGGGTGGGGAAGGAATAATAGTCCTTTCCAAGTGTTTGCACCTTTTTCAGGTAATATCAACAGATAATCCTCCCATCCTTCATTCAATAAGCATCTATCCAGCTTACACACTATATACTACATGTTCCGGGGACTGAGAACACTGATAAAGCAATTCAAAAGAAAGCTCCTATACAGCATAGGATCTGGTGAGCAGTACAGAAACAGCAACATTGAAAGGTACAAGGCAATTTTACCAAGGCTGACCAATCCTCACGCCCCCTCCGATTTTCTATAGTAGAACTACTCGAGGTAGCTATTGAAAATTCAGAACCCAGTTAAAAGATGGACTGAACAAGAAAAGAATCTTTGGGTGCACAGTGCTGGATTCTGCTTTATATAATAATGTTCTGAGTGATTCCACTCCAACATGCCATGAACCAACTACCAGCAGGGCATCACAAGCTTAATGCCATGCCACCCTGAATACAGTTTCTCATGTGGTGGTGACCCACGCCCAACCATAGCATTATTTTCGTGGCTACTTCATAACTGTCATTTTGCTACTGTTATGAATCAGGTGACCCCTGTGAAAGGGTCACTTTACCCACAAAGGGGTTACGACCCACAGGTTGAGAACCACTGTATTAAAGGGTGGCAGTAGCCAAGTGGCCAGTACTTAGGTAGACAAAGATATGGGCAGGGATTGAACAAAGAGATATACCTTCTCGAATAGGGCACTTGAAAGAGCACACTTTGTGTGCAACTCCTAGGACATCATCTTACTCCTTTCTCTGTCCACTTCAAGGTTAGCCCCATGGAAGCAAGCAAGCCTTCCCCTGTTCATTTTGATAGCTGGTCAAAGGATCCGATTTTCTGACCTAACTTGGGATTCCTCAAAAATATATTTTGGGGAGTTACCTGGCAGAGTATTAATTCAAAAACTTGGCTGCTAACCCCCCAAAAGGAAAACGGTTTGAATCTACCAGCCACTCCATGAATAAAAGATGAGGCTCTTTGCTTCCATAAGGAGCCCTGGCAGCTTAGTGAGCTGTGATCCGCATGGTCGGCAGTTTGAAACCACCAGCAGCTCGGAGGGCGAAAGACTGGGCTTTCAACTCCTGTGACTTGGTCCAGTCTCAGAACACACAGGGAGTCGCTATGAGTCAGTTTGACTCCTGTGACAGTGAGTTCGATTTGCTTCTATAAAGATTTAAGCTTCAGAAACCCTGTGAGGCAGTTCTAGTCTGTTCTCCAGAGCCGCTGTGCATTGCAATCAAGTTGGTGGCAACATGCTTTTTGACTGACCTCCTGAGGGTCCTTTCTGTCAGCAGTTCAGCCTCTACAGCCCGTAGGGATCATTCTTGAGAGTGGGAGTCTTACCTGAGTCATTGAATGCTGGATTTATTTATTTGTATTTTAATTCAAATAAATCAAGAACTACCCTGCTATTTCTTAAATCATAATCACCCATTCTTCAACTTACTCTATTTCACTTAAAATTGTAATTGCTGGTCAAAATAGTGCATTTATCTAATTGGAAAATAATAGTCAGTTCAAGAAAATTAGATGCGCAGTAATACCTCTTATAGATCATAAGTATTTGGAAATTGGATTGTTAATTAACAAGAATATTGTTTAAATGGAACACATTAACTGTTTAAAATTGAGACTATGAGGTAAGAGATAAGCTATTCATACCCTCAGTTGTTCTCAACAATATGAGAGTAAAATATGATGCTATCATTTTCCAGTGAATCAATGGAATATAAAATACCTCTTCTGGCTAAAAATAACATGCTAATGAAGCAGTGGCAAGATTTTGAAATTCAGCCACTTCCCCATAAAACAAATTAGGCTCTATTTTTTGACTCAAAAAGAAGTTAACAAAACCCATTCCACTCCATTAGTTCCATTTTGTTTTGAATACTTATTTTTATCTTAAAAATAATTTGCTTTAACAGCTGTTTGAAACTAAATGCAGGAGGAGGAAGAAGATGGCAGCTTTCTCAACTGCCAGAGGTGTCCAGTCATCCATCAGCTGAGTGCACATCACTGCCAACCAGAAACAAGATCACAGGGAGACATAACGGCAAACACCAGCCAAGTAAGGGACTTTACAGAGTTTTCTCTACAGAACCTTCTCTATTTTGCTTTCTGGATGACAGTGAACTGGGAGGCATTTCCTTGGTGCCACTGAAAAAGAGCCAACTCCAAAATGTTCATGGGAAAGAAAAATTAAGTCCTGATACGTGCGACTCTATGGGAGACTTTTGAAAACATGCTGAACAAGTCTGACACAAAAAGACAATTGTTCACTTCATTTACATAAAACATCTAGAAGAGGGACATATATAGAGACCAACATGTTTTTGTACTTAACAATGGAAAGCAGGAAAGAAAGGGAAAGAAAAAGTCAATTGTGGGGCTGATGGTAAAATCGGGGAATATGTTGAACAAAATGATGAAAATAATATCACACATATGAAGATAGGTGAAATGTCAACTGATTTGTTGCCTATTTATTTACCACAATAAAAAAAAAACACAATAAGGGATATAACCTGATGAATTTTGGTATGTTGGTAGCATATTTCTTGGGGAGTTTTGAAAGGCTAAAGCTCTGACATGACTGAAGTTAAATGTGGATAATAACTCAGTACACAGATTTGATTTTCATAGCTATTCAAGTCATTATGCAGACACACTCCAAGTGTGTCCTCCTGATTTAGAATTCTTAAATCTTAATTTACACAGAGAGTGAGCCTCTGTGCTCTTGCCTCAATACCAAAGTGTTAAGGGACAGTTTGCTTACAGGGTATGAGAAGTCTGTGGGGGCTGTGCTCTCTGCCTCTGCTGTCATTTTATTATAGTTGAACTCATGTTATGAAGTGCTAGGCAGTTCTTCCAGTTGTCTTTCTGGAGGGGATAGAGAGCGAGAGTGAAAATACATCTGCATTCTACTTCTGTCAGTGTTTCCATGGGGGAGCAAGAAGACTGTGTGTTGCAAAGAATTTGAAGTTGTTATGATGCAGAATTGTTCTGTTTGGGTTTGGGTCCTTTTTCTGCGGAGTCTTGAATCCTATTACTGGGCTGGGGACCTTGTCTGTCTTAACATTATAAACTTAGTGCTGCAAAAAGCTTGACATGTAAGTTCATGATAAATATTTGTGGGAAAAATGAAAGAAAGTCCAAAGATGGAATGAGCCAGTTTAAAAGGATCAAGTTTTCTAAACTCTATTAAGCTCACCTTAACAAACATTTATTGATTCCTGCTGTGTGTTGAGCCAGGCATATAAAGATGGATAAGACATCAAACCCATCCTTGAGGCATTTACTACTTTGTTGGGAAGAGAAGCATGTGAATAGATGATTTCCATGGGATCTGATACGGGTGCAGCAGTTTATCTTGTCTACCAGTTGCAGGTGTTTATCAGAGTGTGAGTCTTTCATTCAGAAAACCCAGGGAATGAGATGAGTAGCCCCTTCTCTGTTGGCAGACAAGTCATAAAGACTACAAAGGCTTCCCGATTTCAAACGGAAGTTTCTGATCCTTTGCTCATGGCAGCAAGGGAATCCTAAGAGCAGAAAAATCACATTTTTATGCACCTAACTCATTTAACCTTGCTTGAAGTAAAATGAGAGCCAGGATGGCACAATGGTTAAAGCACTCAGCTGCCAACAGAAATGTCAGTGGTTTGATCCCACTTACCAGCAGAAAGATGTGGCAATCTCTTCAGTAAGGGGTGACGGATAAGGACACTCTATGGGAGCCAGTCTATGCTGTTGTGACAGGGTCCCTATGAGTCAGAATCAACTTGATGGCAACAGCTTTGGGTTTGGGATGCAATAAACACATGCACAATTGTCTGCAAATAAGACACCATTATTGCCTTGACATTGACTTCTAAGGTATCATAAAATAAAAAATTAATGATAAAAAAGATCTGCACTTTATCCATTTCACAGCCACCTTCCATTGTGCTATGTCCTATCTTTAAGGCATCCTATCAAGTAAATCTTTAAAAGTGGGAGTATGTATTTCTCCCAAAATTCTTGGACTTAACAAGTCTTCTAGGACAGAAAAAGATATTTTATAGATGCTGGTTTGTACATCAATAGTGTTTTCCTGCATGAAACTCTATAAGGTGCAGTCATTCAAAATACCGGACCTGCAATTTGAGTTTGACAAGACAAACCTACAACACAGAAAACGAGGTGCCACCAATGAATAGAGAATAAATGCATCACATTGGTGGCACTACCATCAACGGAAGTTCCTCACCTTTTTCTGATGACAACGGAAGTCAGAGAACCAAGCAAGCAGAAGAAAAGTGCACTAGTCAGCAACTTTCTCTCAGGGAACACCCATGTGGAATTTTAAATAGATTTTGGATTGAACTAAAAAT